CATATCCCCACCCCTCTCGTGTTCTCTTGCACACTCTCACATCCCCACCCCTCTCGTGTTCCCTCGCAGACTCTCTCATATCCCCACCCTTCTCGTGTTCCCTCGCACACTCTCTCATATCCCCACCCCTCTCGTGTTCTCTCGCACACTCTCTCATATCCCCACCCCTCTCGTGTTCTTTCGCACACTCTCACATCCCCACCCCTCTCATGTTCCCTCGCACACTCTCTCATATCTCCACCCTTCTCGTGTTCCCTCACACACTCTCTCATATCCCCACCCTTCTCGTGTTCCCTCGCACACTCTCTTATCCCCACCCCTCTCGTGTTCTCTCGCACACTCTCACATATCCCCACCCCTCTCGTGTTCTCTCGCACACTCTCACATCCCCACCCCTCTCGTGTTCCCTCGCACACTCTCTCATATCTCCACCCTTCTTGTGTTCCCTCGCACATGCTCGTATCCACCCTGCAACCACCTTTGTGCCTTTTCCTGCGACACCCACCACTCCGCTAGCATCCCTTCTCGAACTGCACCTTCTACAACAGTAAGGGGCCACCCCAGAGGGCACTCAGCATTGGAAAAGCCGCTCCCATCACTTAACACTCTCGCATGCGCCCCTTCCTCGTCCGCCCGCCCCTTCGTTCACCCCTCTTGACCCCCATCTCCCCCAACTTAGCTGCAAATCCTTCCTCTGCGATAACCAGCTCTTGCTACGTCACTTCCCGCGATGCATCTTCCACAGCAACACAATGACCATCGCGTGTTGATGATTCCCCTATTTCCAAACGCACACTCTATTGCCTCCTGCCCATCACTCCCTCCCTCTCCCCCTCCCCCCCTCCCTCCCTCCCTCCCCCCCCTCCCTCCCTCCCTCCCTCCCTCCCTCCCTCCCTCCCTCCCTCCCTCCCTCCCTGCCTCCCTCCCTCCCTTCCCCTATAATTTCTTCCCAACGCACCGGTGACTCCTTTCCTTTTGAAAACGACCCTCCCAAGCGATTCTTCTCAACCTGCACCTTTGCTAACAACACGGCGCCAACATCGGGAGGCGGCGCCCTCAGCATCAAAGCCAGCAGCTTCAACGCCTACACCTACAATAAGCGCGTGCCTGAACTCACCTTCCGGGGCTGCTCCTTCAAGGACAACAAGGCGCCCACTGGCTTGGGGGGAGCGATTAAGGTGGCGGGGTCAGCCAGGGTGCGATTCGAGGATTGTGTGTTTGAAAGGAACCATGCTGGTGAGTTTGTGCATGTGTATGTGTGCGCGTGCGCGCATGTTTGTGTGTGTCAATGTCTATGTGCTGTGGGCGGTTTATGTGCTAGTGTCCTGCACTCTGCTCTCTCTCTCTCTCTCTCTCTCTCTCTCTCTCTCTCTCTCTCTCTCTCTCTCTCTCTCTCTCTCTCTCTCTCCCTCTCTCTCAAATGGCCCTTTCATTAATTGTTTAAGGTGAACAGACATGCAAGGTATAGGTATCACACTAGTGGAGCTAATCCCATAATACACTTCCTACTCACTCCTCAGCTCAGCAACTTCTAAGCAAGGTCTGGTGCAGGATCAAGAACCGAGAGGTAGTCCCCAAGGGATGGGGCCTCACTTGCTGTCTCAAGTAGCGGGTTTTCTACCGCCGCTGCTATGTTGCACTTTTCCAGGTACCCAATCGACTGCCCCCTTTGAAGAGCCACCAACCAGCGCTGTCGGTATTGATGTAAGAGCTTGGCAGCTTGATAGGAGGATGGCTCGGCATTGAAAAACTGCCGCGCAGCTGATTCTGCAAGCAACTTCAGGAAGTCAACCGACTCTGGGCATGGGCACCCATATGTCTCGACCGCGAGTGGGAAAAACTTCACCCACTCTGGGCGGTCCTTGTAAAGGCCGTGTTTCTTGTCTGCCGCTTCCCGTGCCGCCCACCCCCGCCCTTTGGTTGCATTCTCATCGCGGGTGCTGATGGGGTCTGTTACCATCACGTCATAGATGTAGATGGTGCCGGTAGAGCGGTCACGTAAGGCTAGGTCCGCCTTCTTCTCCTCCACTGGGCTGAAGGCGGCAGTTTCAAGATGCACCATGAAGCCTGCATCTCGTGCCATCCGTGCGCACTAAGTTCATTGTGTGTGTTGGTACGCCCCCCCCCCCTGTCCCGCACTGTAGCAGGTGGTTCGGGAGCCTTTTATCAAGGATTTTCACTTTCTTCGAGCAGTTGCAAACCCCGGGAGCTGCAAAGGGGAGCCCCAACCAAAATTGGAGCGCGTTGGCATAGTGGGGAGCCTCAAGGCGTAGCGAGGGGAAGAAGGGAACAGCATTCAACCAATCTCCCGCCCCGTACCCTGACAGGGACAACATCCGCTGTGCGTGACCATTGTTGGGGCTCGGGCCCAACCCCCGCACCTCCTCCACCTGCACAGCATAGCGCTGGCCTTGAATAGCCGTGGCCAGCCCATGCTGCAGCTTTCCTGCAGTTGGAGCTGTTCTCTCCGCTAGCAAAACTTCTTGGGCTGGCAGTGGAAGTTTCTCCTCGCATTCCGCTAGCCATTCAGTCAAAGGGGAGATCTGAGTATAGGGGCCGCGCATCAGCTCGCGGGTAGCCTCCAATGGGCCGGTGCACTCGCTGTTCAGTGAGTCAAGCAGGGGCTGCGCCTGCGTGTAGCTGGCGAGGAAGCTGTAGGAGCCTTCCACAGAAGGGTCTGTCAACCCGAGGCCACCGAGCGATACGGGGAGTGAGGCCTGTGCCCACGTGCGTGAGTTGTCCATGTCTCCGCGCGGGTGGCTAATGCCACACGCTGTGAGGAGTGTTTCCAGCAGCCGCCGTCCCCAGTCGGACCACTCCTCCTTGGGAAGGAATGGTAGTGGAGTCGTGCGGGCTAGGTAAGACACTCGGCGAGAGATGCACCGAGACAGCAGCAGTCCCGCTAGCTGCGGCTCCATCCGCTCAATCAACCCCAGTGGCGCACCCATCGCCTCTAGGCTGGACCGTACGAAGGCGGAGGTTGCTTTGGGGGTGCCGATGTAGCTGCCCAGCACTTTCAAACCGTTGCTGCTAGGTGGAACTCCTTCCGGTAGGCGTCAGTCCATGGGCGTCCTGCCTGACCATGCCCCGCACTTGGCAGGATTGTGGCTGAGTCCAATATCTGCCAGGCTGCCCGTGAAGTGGACAAAGGCAGCTGCGCACGACGACGGTTCTCCTAGGAAGGTGACGTCGTCCGCGTAGGCCAGGCAGATGACCTCTGGGTGGGCCTCCGCAGCTGCCTTCAAAGCTGGGTGCATGGCAGCAGCAAAAAGAAGGGGGCCGAGGGGATCCCCCTGGCGGACCCCTGTTTCACTGTGCAAGGGCGGGTGGTCAAAGGCTGCGTCCAAGTGCAGTGTGGAAGGTTGACCGTAGGAGAAGCGTACCAATGGCAGCAATGGTTCTAGCTTTGAACTTTTCAGGGCTGTTGCTATGGCGAGGCGGTCAACGCTATTGAACGCGTTAGCCAAGTCGGCCTGCAAGACCAGTGCGTCCTGGTTGGCCGCGGTGAAAGTTCGAACGACATGTATGACTGCTTCTGCTCCTCCTGGCACGGCCACCCCAAACTGTAGAGGTAAGAAAAAATCGCGTGCCGCTTCCGCCAGCTGGGTAAGCGCCGCTTTGGCTGCTAATCGGAGGATGCATTCGCCTATGGCAATCGGCCTGGTCCCTCCGTCCGGCTTGTCGAGGGCTATCAGTCGCGATGCTGTAAGGAACTTCCCTACTTCCTGGTGCAACTTCCCACGCAAGATTGTGTTGACTAACGCGTGTGAGTGAGAACTAACCGTGGCATGCATCAGGGCTGCTTCGCGCAGGTGCTCGAACGTCGTGCCTGAGGGGCCTGCTCCTACCCCGTTCTCACATCTCGAGAGGAGCTTCAGAAAAACTTCCCGCGATATTGACAGGTAAGAGTCTGGTTCAGGCTGGGGCCACGGTGTGTCAGGGCGCGAGGCGCTTGGGTGTTTGGCGCAGAGGGATTCCAGAACGGCAGGGGATGGCTTGCTGACTGGAGTGGCCTCCAGTGCCATGACTGCTCTCCGCAGACTGCCACGTCGCGCCAGTCCTTCAGCTCTGGAGATTGCCCCCAGGTCATCTTGCTTGTGTCTGGGGGGGAGGAGGAAAATCTAACGAATCCACCGTTTCCAGGTACAGCGATTCCCACTCCCCTCGCTGGGATTTACGCAATCGGCTCCTGGTCGCCTTCCAGTCAGGATGTCTCGGCGAATGCTGACGCAGCGTCAGGCGAGCGGCAAACAGGAGAACCGTCCAGGCCTGAATGGAGTCAGGGTCGCATGCGAGTCATGGCAGTGGAGTCAATATTACCATTGCGAAGAGAAGGCACAGTTCCTCCGGAAGGCGACGTGCTAGTGGTGCATTGCGATTGTCGCGTAGCTTGTCCAGATTCCAGTGACTAACGCCTGCGAAAAGCGTGTCGTCCTTGGCGAGAGCTTCGGGTGATCTCTGGGGGGGGAGTTGGGGCTGCTGATGGTTACCCCTCGCTGCAGTTCGCGGTGCAATCACAGGTGATGGTGTCAGATTTGGTAGGGCGGATTGGTTGGCATTGGTGGTAGGGTGGTCGGAAGCGGTTCGGACCTGTGGAGAGGGTTGCGGTTGGGTGGGTGTATTTCTCAAATTTCTTGCCGCGCTCCGGGCGTGGGTTGAGCTGACTCTCTGCCGAGTTGGAGTTTGTGACTGGGCCTCCTCTGAGGCATTCGAACTTAGGGGCGAGTCTGCTTCATCCTCCTCCGCCTCATAAATACTTCCCGACACTACGTCTTCTTTATTAGCTCTTCCTAACTCAGTTAAAGCCCTTCGAGCTGCTGTCTGGAACGCATTCTCCGGCCCACCCTCATGCGTTCCCCTACCACGCCCACGACCTCCGGCACGACCCCCGCGCGCCCGCGCACTGACTGCGGCCAGTAGCGGACTTTCGCGACTACCTCCTCCTGCGCTCTGACGCACCTGTGCGTCCTCCAGCGCTTGCTGGCGGCGCGTTCGGCGTAATGGCAACTGAAGCGGAGAAATCGACGGTAGACCAAGGTCACACCGCTGAGAGCGTGCATGCTCCGCCTCCGGCCCCTGCTGCAGCCGCTGCTGTTGCTCCCCCGGCTCTTTTTGCCACTGTTGCGGCGTCGACGATTCCTGGCCCGCTAGCTCCTGCCCCCCCACCGAGCCTCCCCTTTCCTCGCGAAGTCCCCGTGTCTGGCGCGTCGGCTCCCATTGCGATGCAGACACATGTGGTGCAGCCGCCTGTCCAAGTTGCTGTGGGGGGCCCCGCGCGGGGGAAGGCGGTGGGCGCCGGCCCCAGCTCTGCACACTTGGTGACCCCCGCGGCTGCGCCGGTACAGCCCGTCGCGCAGCGGCACGCGGAGTCACAGAGTCATGGTGCCGCAGGGGGCAATGCGGCGGCGCATCGGGGGCGAGGTTCTCCTCGGCATCGCCCCTCCTCGTCGTACCGGTCCGCGCATCGCGGTGGTCGCGGTGGCTGGTGGGGAGGTCGCGGTCGCGGGCGTGGTGGGCCAAGCGAGATGCAGCAGCCGCGCGAGGATTTTCCGGAGATGTTGGCTGCGGCAATGCGCGCTGCTCTGACGGGAGCGCCGAATCTTGAAAGCTCGCTGGCTCCTGCTACCGCGGCGCACGCCCCTGCTCCCGTGCATGCGCGTGCTCTACCGACACCACACATGGCTCTTGCGCCAAACGATCAGGCGTACTCGCAGGTTCGTGCTCCTGCAGCTGATCGTGCTCCGCCTGCCTCCGCGCGTCCTGTTTCCGCTGCGCCGTGTCCCCCACTGCCATGGATTCCTCCCGTTTCAGGCACGGGATTTGTGGGAGCGGGAGGCGGAGAGGCGAGGGGGGCCTTCGTCCCTCCGCGTCAGATTGTTGATGTTCAGTCTGCGCAGCCTCCGCCTGCCCTTCCAGCCCCTGCTGCCACTCAGTCAACCGGACTGGCCCAAGTTCCCACAACGACTCTCTCGCAGCTATGGCGCTTGGTGGAGTGTCAGCGGGCCCTGGCACTAATTCTGGTGAATTCGCATTTTTGCCATTCTCCGGAGCCCAGGGAGCACTCTCGGTCATCATGCGCGAGCTGATTGTTTGACGGCGGCCGCGCAGTTTGCTTTCCTCCAGCTACCCGTGCTGGCAGCGCCCGCAACGGGAGGCGTAGCGGTCTCGCAGCTGGACGAGACTGTCCAGGATCTGACAGGGCACCTCCGCGAAGGAGGCGCTGTTGTTACTGTCGGCGCGACCGCGTTAGTGGTCCGACAGCTGTGGAGGACCATGCGTGGAATCCTCGCGGCCCTTGATGCCCATCTGATGTAGTCTCTGGCACCCGCCGCCCGTAGACCCTCTGCATTTTGCTTCTTAGTAGTTGTGCGTGAAGGCCTTGCTGTTGTCTGCCATGTTTGTTGTTCTTGCCGTCAGCCAGCCATCCTTGTTACTTCTCTTGTCATCCCAAACGCGCGGCCGCAGGCCGCGCCCGCGAGCTCCGGCGCGTAGCGCCGGCGCGAAGCGCCGGAAAAAACTGAAACACCAAATGAAGAATGAGCTAGAAGGAAGGCCAAGGGGCCATTATATAGCTGGGGAAGAGAGGGGAAGAGCCTAGGAGGGAAGAGACTAAGTCCCTTGTTTCTCTCTCTCTCTCTCGCTCTCTCGAACAAGCCGGAAAAAACTGAAACACCAAATGAAGAATGAGCTAGAAGGAAGGCCAAGGGGCCATTATATAGCTGGGGAAGAGAGGGGAAGAGCCTAGGAGGGAAGAGACTAAGTCCCTTGTTTCTCTCTCTCTCTCGCTCTCTCGAACGAGCCGGGAAAAACTGAAACACCAAATGAAGAATGAGCTAGAAGAAAGGCCAAGGGGCCATTATATAGCTGGGGAAGAGAGGGGAAGAGCCTAGGAGGGAAGAGACTAAGTCCCGATCCGCCTTCACGATGAACCGGGCGCAAGGCACCTCCCTTGCCAATGGCTTCTCCTCTGGTCTCGGCGGTCTTGCCTACGCCGTCGTCTCGGGAGCAAACAGCAGGGCAGCTGTCCAATTCTGCTCGTCGTCCTTTTGGTTGGACTGGGCCAAGGATCCAGTAGGGGAGATACTGTACCTGCAAACGGCCTCGAGCGAATCGCTATTCGTCGAAGAAGTGGCGTTTTGCAATACGACCATGCCGGTTAGCACGGTGGTGCCCAAAAGTGGATGGAAGCTGGTGACTGGCTGCATTGCCAGGTGAGGGAGCAGACCGACCTGATGAGTGGGGATTAGTAGGTGAGGAGTTGGGGCGTGCGTGCAGTGGTAGAAGCGGGAGTAGGACCGTGGGGCCGGTGCGGGAATTCTAAACAACGGCCTGCCAGTCGGGTTACAAATGCATGACTGGAGGAGAGTTGAAAGGAGAGTGGGTGTGTGCAAGGTGAGAGAGAGTGACGTTGAGCAAGCTGTCAAAGTAGCTAGTTAATCTTAGGACCCATCAAGGGTTGATGGAACTATCATGAGTATCGAGAGAGTTTAGCAAAGGAGAAAGGTGGTTTCACTATAGCAAAACAGTAACATATATGGGGAAGGAGGGGGGTGCACTACAAAAACAAGAAGCATATAGCTACAATAGGATCCACTGCAGGCAGGTATATTAATGTATACAAATACATTTCAATACAAGCAGGGGAGGAAGATCAGAATCAAATATTGAATAGAGCACGATGGGTGTGAGGAAGACAGGCTGCTGTTCATCCGCCATTGCTTCAACCACCATTGCTTCATCCACCATTGCTTCATATTTGAATGCTTGTCAGTACCTCGTGTGGTAGTCTGCTTACTGCCTGCACTTCTCCCTCGTGCTACTGCCCGCCTTCACATTTCATGCCTTCTGTTCTTTCGGTACTCCCCATGTCTTTCCTCCCCAACCCCCTCTGCTATTCTCCCCATGCCTCTCCCCTCTTGCATTGCTTTCCCCTTTCCTCCGTCCAAGCAGCACTTGCAATGATTGAGTCCTGCCGTTTCTCTTCACCGCATTCGACTCCTACGGTAGCTTTTCTTCCTTAACAGCAACGATGATGTGCCTATCATAAGAAGGGTCTCCTTACGAGCGTCGGTCACAAGATCGCTCTTGTTCAGCCAGCTCCCCCACTTTGTGGGTGCGTGCGAATAGAGTTGCTTACGTTCTTGTTTTTGTTTACATTCCCGTTTTGTGTTTCTTGCTTGCCGCATGTAAAATAGGCTATGATAAACTTCCCTCCTTGGCATGGTAATGAATAGGCTGTAACAGATGGTGAGTTGGCACCTGACTAAAAATAAGAAGAATATATAATTGTGTTGGTCTTCAGGCCCTCAGATTCGTTTTTGGCCTGTCTAATTCGTCAGTCTTAGGACGTAGTTTTAGGCTGATTGATCAGACTTGGAAAAAAATAAAAAGCTGAAATTTCAGTGTACTGCACCAGAAAAGGCTGAACAATCAGAGTTACATTTTGTTTATGCTGATTGTGTTGTTAACTGGTATTAGCTGTGGATCTTGCTCTAGGCCCTATTTTCCTGCAACATATTCAATATATAGAACCTTCAATAATCTATGCACAACATTTCAAGCAGTCTCATCATCAGCATCATCATCACTAGCATCAAATACATCATCTAGGTCTACCATCTCTACATCTGCTGACTGCTCCTTTCCCTTCCTACTCTGCTGCTGTCCTGCAAAGATAGGGGCATTGCTGTGGGGCTTGCGCTTCTTGTAGCTCCTCCAAATGTCAACAATCTCATCCCATTTTGGCTCGTAGCTCATTAGGCTCATGCACATGAGGTCGCCCAGCCTTGCATCCTTCAGTGAACCCCGCTGCCATGACTTGATTATGTTCTGCCTGGAGAAACCGCGCTCGCACTCAACAGTGCTGAGCGGTCGAACTGCAACGGCCACCCACAGCTGCACCAGGTTGGGGTAGTCATCCCACCAGTCTAGTGTCTTCAGCATAGCTGTGAGGCCAGCATGGAAACTTCGCTCGGTCTTGTGGGCTGACGCAAGCACGGATGTGAACATCCGCAGCTCCTTCACAGCGCGGCGCTTCTTGATACTTGCCGAGGGGAGGGGGAGGGGAGGGGGGCGGGGGATTCGTATATGAGGTTAATTGGAGTACGGTCACGAACGTATATAAAGAGGGAGCAGAGGATAACACCGTGCAATCAATTACGTCATCATTGCATGAACGCTAGTTACACCATTAACTGGCTTACCTGGCAAGATGTCGTCGTTTATCTCAGCCTTGAACAGCGTGATCAAGGACTCCAGCTACTCGACACACCGTGCGTGACGCTCGCCACGGTCCTGAGGCCAAGCGTCAGGCGTGAACAGTCTCGACCCTGACAGCGACTCCAAGTTGCCTAACCTTCCGTGGATGTTGCTGACGATCATCTCTGCGAACGCCGTGCAGACGTCGACGCATCCGTCGTGAGTTCCACGCCCGCCAAACTCCTCCATTGGGTCCTCATGAAGCACGAACGAGAACTCCGTCGGCCTTCCGTCCGAGTCGATGCCAGCAACTGTCATCTCCCTCGTCCCTCCCGGCCCATGTTGTGTCAGGAATGGAGAGAGCCGCTCGCTCATGCCTCCACCGAAGTTGTCCCCACAGTCGACATAGCGGCTCTCGATGTGGAAGGTAGTCCACTTGATCTATGCATGGAGAGAAGCATAATCAAGCTGGAGAGACGGGATATAGATGGCACAGAGGGGCAGAGGAACAGAGTCAGTAGAGAACACTCACAGCAGAGATCCCTAAACCAAAATAACAACAGATTGTAAAGCATCTTTACCTCCTTGTGTTGGAACGCGCGGTTGAGGATGTTGAGCTGCTCAAGCACGTCGGCGATGAAATTCAAGAGGAAATGGAAACGGTAGCTCGACACAAGGGCAAACATTTTCTTGTCACACTCCTTGAGCATGACAATGACGTTTGGCAAGACGACTAGAAACCGAAGGACGGCGTCTCCCCACGAAAGCCACCGCACGGCATGTATGCCCTGCAGCTCAAGGGACGTCGACATGAACACCTCCTGGAGGTCGAGGAAGCGCTGGTGCCAGGGCCCCGAACGCCCGAGATGCTCTGCCACGTTCCGAATGACCTTGTAAACAATCTTGAAGTCTGGAATATTGTCAGAAGCGTCCTTCGCAGCAAGGGCCTCTCTGTACATGCACACAAAAACAGTGTCAATAGAAAACTAGTCATTAGAAACATCTTTAAGAAACAACAATAAAAAAGACATTACCTGTGAGTGATGCAGTGTATGGTCACCAGGTGAGGTATGCGTAGGCGGAGGCGCGTCACAAGCCCAGACTTGCAGCCCATCATGACATTCGCCCCATCGGTACTGATCCCAGCAATCCGGCAGAGATCAATGCCGACGGCCTGTACATGCGACAGCAAGAGGCTCAGCAACGATGTCGCATCTGCCTTCTCCACGATCAGGAGTTCCATGAACTCGGTGACCACGCTGTCGTCTCGAATGAAAGTGACGTAGAGAATTAGATGCTTCCCGCTGCAGCGGTCGGTGCTTTCGTCGACGGAGATCCCGACGAAGGGGCTGGCCAGCACTTGCGCAATCTGGGTCATTTGCAGCCAGGTTGCCGTCGCTTGTGTAAGCTCCCCGAAACCGTACCTGGATAACAAGGCAACAAAATGTTCCGTAAAGGTCACGCATGGTGAAATAAAAAACAGAAACAAGATCCCAGGTTTGTGCGACTAAAACGAAGAGCTTACGTGGTGTAGTACGTCCCGTAACCCTTCTTGGGGAAGCCCTTCACACCCTTCTCCGCCAGGTACTGCACCAATTTCACCCACAATCCCATGGGCGCATCACACTTGCTGACGAACAGCAAGGAGTCCAGCAGGGCGATGACGCGCAGCTTATCTTCGTCGCATGCTGCCCTGTGTTGATCGATGCGTGGTTGCCTGCTACTGCTGTCCACAAGCGCGGTGTATTTCACCATCGCCAGCTTGTGCTTTTGATTTCCTGCGTGCTTTTGAAAGGCTTGAGTCTGAACGTCCGTGGCCCCCTTGCCGCGCCTCCCGCACTTGCCTACATCACCAGCGTGGGCTGCACAAACACTACATTTAAAGGGAGGCAAACCGGCCGCGGTTTTAGTTAGAACCAGCCAAGGAAATCGACTCGACCACGTCGCAAGCCACTTCTCGTACGCATCCTCATACACATCGTCAATGAGCTGAGCGAGGTTGAGTTTCCACCGCGGCTTTTCCAGGTTAGATGGCCCAGCCCGGTTGTTGTCGCCATCAATGGTTGCAAAAGACTTCCCGAAGCTGAGCGTTGCTTGCTTCAGGCGGATGTTGCGTG